AGGCAAGGAGTCTCCACCGACCCGGAGAGGGCAAGCCACCTTTTTCTGGTCGAGAACCATGGCCTCGGATTTGGAGGTGCTGATCCTCATCCCGCTCGCCTCACACTCGGCTGCAAACCGTCCCAGTGCACACTGAAGGTCCTGGTTTGATGAAGCCAACAGAACAGCATCATCTGCAAACAGCAGAGATGAAATTCTGTGGTTCCCAAACCGAACCCCTGCTGTCCTGAAAAAGTGCTTATTGAAAATAGTGGAAATTGTTATCAATAAATAAACATTTCAAGTCAAGCTAGATTTTCCTAGCATCCCCAAAATACAAATTTATCTCAAAGAGCTTTGCAATGTCTGCAGCATACAAAACCTGCCATTGCTTAGCTACTCAATATGGAAAAGAAGAAATATACCAACACTTCAACCCTATACAAAGATTACAGTGTCTATATAAAGTGCTCACCCCACTGACAGTTTGAAAGAACCATTTCATTGCTTTCCATGCATGAAAGAGACTCGTCAGGGAGGCCACCAAGACACCCATGACTCCTCTAAAGGAGTTACAAGCTTCAGTAGCTGGATTACATATAACAACTGATGCCTTGTCTTCACCAGTTGATGGAAGAGAGCAAAGAGAAAGTCATTACTGAATAACGCTCACATTAAATGCCAAGTAGTTTGCCAGAAGACATGTGGAAGACACTGAAGTCAACTGGAAGAAAGGTCTTTGGTCTGATGAGGCCAGAATTGAACTTCTTGCCATCAGGCTAGATGCTGTGTTTGGTGGATGTCAAACATTGCACATCATCACAAGCAGACCATCCCTACCGTGAAGCATGGTGGTGAATACTAGCTGGTAACTCCTTCAAACAAAGTCCTAGGTGTCTTAGAGGCCTCCCTCATTGGTCTATATCTTACATGGTCCTTCAGTTTTTGAAAATGGCTTGCTCTTGGTAGATTTAGCCATATGACATATTCTTTCAATTTCTTAATGATGGATTTAACTGTGCTCTGTGGGATATTCAGTGAAATTGTCATGTATCTATCCCCTGTTGTATGGTTTTCAATAACTTTTTTATGGACTGAAAGTCAATGAGTCGCAAGACACATGATGCAGGTTTAGAAAGTTTTCAAAGAATCCGCCGCCTGATTTAACGTCTTGGTACGACAACTGAAAAACACTCCAGATGTGCAGATTCCAGTTTTTCTAGAGATAACATAAAATTCACCAACATAATGAAATGTTTTTTTTCCCCAGGTCTCCCTCGATGTCAAATATGCTTTCGACCCAAAGGTCAAATTTCCCATAGTCATCCTGCCAGCCTATCAGCGCTCCGCTGCTGCAGCAGTAGGTGCTGCGGCTGACTTTTGAACCATTTGGGAACCCGACTCCTCCAGTGTGAGGCACTGTAGCACCACA